TACATTGTATCCGTCAGGGTTGCTCCCTCTTTGCTGCCCTGCTCCTATTCCCATTCATAGGGCACCCATACCTTCACCGAGATTTAGGGTGCGGAGAAAAGATTTGCAAGTTCTTACAGAACTTTAATGCAAATCTATCTCCGAATGGGGGACTGATACGGAACGGGGGGGGGGGGCATGTCTTCACCTTCTTCTTCGCTACAATATATCTATTTATTTCCATCTGCCAAGCCCTTCCTCCGGGCGATGCCAGGTGACAGACTATGCAAACATGGACCATTGTCTCCTCAGGATGTGCTTATCTGCGCATATCTCCAGCTCTGCATATTCCCTCCTCCCTCCTCCATATGTTAATCCAGTGTAACCCAACCTCTCCTTAATGTATTCATGATGCAATCTGTGTAACTCAACCTTTCCTTAATGTATTCATGATGTAACTGGGATGTATTTTGCACTGTATTCTGGGACATGGAGGGAGTTTCAAAAGTTCATGTCACCCCTTTTTCGCGGTTCAATCTCGCCTTGAACCTGTTGCGCAATAAACTTGGATCTTCTGCAGTTTGCTCCTGCGTCCGGCTGAGCTCATTTTCTTCCGCAGGGACCCACGGACTTAGTCCGATGAGCTGGGTGGCAGAGTAACCCCGCACCCAGATTTTAGCCGTAACATTGGATTTGCAAGTTTGTATCCCCAGGATATCTAGTGTCTGTCCAGCAGAAGACAGGTAGGAGAAAGGCAGGAGGGAACAACCTCTCCTTTCTTAAAAGGGTACGGCACTTGGTTTTAAGAGAAAACTTACTGGCTACTTTTGTTACATCAAGCTAATGTACTTCTGAAATGCAAAACGTATTTCAAGGAGCACAGAGTATTTTTCTGTGCAGTCTGCATGCAGAAGCACATTGCAGCCCACTGTCAGATCCCTGTCAGCAAAGGCCGGGTCATCCCATATCAGGGATGAAGGGCAGTTTTGTACTCATGACCACAGTGTCTCCAAGTGCACCTATGCTTTCCTTTTCTCCATAGAAAGGATACCATTGAGATAAGGCAGAAGCAGTTTTAAGGTAGCATGACCAGTTCGGCAGCACTGGGCAGTCCTGCAGGAGGTGCCACAACAATGCTGCAGAACGAAGCTGGAGGTGGGGGAAACGCCAAATTTTAGTGTTGCACAGGGCGCTGCTGAAATTTGAGAGCCCAGACTTCGCCACTGGATAAGGACAGAGTCTGCTTCTTGGCCCAGTGACCTACTGATATATCACATGCTTGACACTGGGGAATTGGGACATTGCCCCATCACCCTCGTAAGCTGGCACTTCTGCTTTGAAGACATGGAACCTAATTTCTGAAAGCCACTCTAGCCTATAACACTAAATGTACTTACTTAGGAGGAACACAGAGGTAAATAGGATTGCAGTGCATAACTCAGTTTGCAAGATTTACCTAACAACTGAAATATTGAAATATTATTGAAGAGGCAATTGTTAAATAAGTCAGTTACAAATGTCAATGGGAAATTCATTTGAGAGATAGCAGACTTTAAATTTGTCAATGAAACACATTATTCTAAGGGTTGTTAACAAATACAGAAGCTTTCTTAGGTAACTATAATGAATTAAATATGGACGAGACACAAAACTTGTCAAATTGGTAGCCAGCAGATTTGAAAGGAAACTTTTACTTATATGATACAAAAGTTTGAGAAGACTGGACCCTGGGGAGGAGACACTTCCCAGAGTGTTTTCACTTTAAAATGATCAGATCCTGAGTTTCATTAGCTACTGTTTTTGTAAAACACATGTCATCAGTAAACAAACCTGTGAGGCAGGTTCTGCAGAGAAATTCAGCAAACTTCATAGTGATTGAAGTTGGGACTCTTGCATCCAAACCTACCAAGTCTATCAAAAGCTCCTCTTGTTTGGCTTTTTTTGGGAGTAGAGGGTTATGGGAATCATTATAAAGATACATCATGCCTTGTCTTCATTTTATACACATAACTTAGTTTGGTTTACAATGTAAATTTTATGCACACTCTTCACAAATCTAGATTTTGATAAGTAAATGTCAGTAAACATTGTTTTCACTGTACTCACCCAAAGTGATGGAAAACAACTTGATGTCAGTACCAATTTACATTTACAGGTAGTCTAAGCTATGTAGAATTTCACATTAATATGTACAGAACATTCTGTTATTAATGCTGCCGAACACACATATTTTTGTAGGGACGTGGGTGGCGTTGTGGTGTAAACCACTGAGCCTTAGGTTTTCCGATCGGAAGGTCGGCAGTTCAAATCCCTGCGATGGGGTGAGCTCCCATTGTTTGCACCCAGCTCCTACCAACCTAGCAGTTCGAAAACACGTCAAAGTGCAAGTAGATAAATAGGTACCGCTCTGGCGGGAAGGTAAACGGTGTTTCCGTGCGCTGCTCTGGTTTCACCAGAAGCAGCTTAGCCGTGCTGGCCGCATGACCCGGAAAAACTGTCTGTGGACAAACGTCGGCTCCCTTGGCCAATAAAGTGAGATGAGCACCACAACCCCAGAGTCGTTCACGGCTGGACTTAACTGTCAGGGGTCCTTTACCTTTATGCACATATTTACAACACTAAAAGATTCAGATCTGGAGCTAGTTTAGAAATAAGTTCCCCACTTGCTAGCCCCACACTCTGATGGCTGTGCATTGAGCATGGTTGTCTGGAAAGGAACCCCTAAAGGTGAGCAGATGCTTTATAAAGCAGAGGAGCTTCCTTTTCAGACCAAGTGTTATACTGACACTGCAGATGTCAGTATAGATGAACCAGATAGTTTTGAACAGGTTTAGAGACAAAATCTATGAGGATCGATTAACAGATTAAGCCTGATTATTATTTGGCATTCCAGCAGTTTTGGCACTGCTTCCATGTTACTCCTACAGTATTCTCGGGAGCCATTAAGAGGCCTAAAATAGAAAAAGAAAGGGCTCATCTGCTTTGTAAAGAACAATGGATAAACTTTAGCATCACTTCTGGAAGGCTTCCCTGCCCTGCACACACATCTTCTTTCTGTCTGAATCAGATGTATAAACTACTTTTCATTCACTGCATTTCATGCACCTTTAAGAAATGATGAGTATTTCCAAGCACACACCCATATGTTGTAAAAGTCAATTCAGCGGTACCTTGAAGTAGTTAGCAGTCATGAGTAAGTACAGCAATTCACAGTTCTTTATAGCTGAAAGTGATACTAATATGTGAACTGGCAGCCAAATTAATCTTCTAGCTGCACAGGGAATTTAAAATTACTTACTGGTTATCTCTAGTAGAGTTGATATTGATAGCTCATATGAGGTCACTGGATGGACACTTTTACACATGCTAATTTTACTTTAGAATTCAACTTGTACCGTGGATGATGAAACAGGCATGCAGTCTTATATGGCATTTCTTGGAGGCAGGATTAAATATCTAACAGGCACTTCAGTCACACGCACACAGCTACTGGCTGGTCTGATATGGCTACAATAGCTGGTTGTACAAAGGAAGTTGGGCACGTCCATCTTGCCATCATGCCTTTCATTTATATTATCAGATTAGCTGTGTATATCATGTTTCTAGAACTGCATCCAATGCATGATGGCTGAAGTGCCTTTACATGGTACATGACGCTATAATGTACTTCAGCAGATGGTGACTGCTGATGGCTTGGTGCTGCCACATGAAATTGTTGCACTGCCTTAATATCTGGGATTGTCTGATTGACAGCATAATCCACAACTTGTGATGCTCAAGCAGCAGTCCCTGCATCCCAAACGTGATAGTTTCCCCAGCCTAACACAACAACATATTGTGACAGCTGATCTTAAACAGAACAAGGCCCCATCTGCTTTTTGCATTTAAAACAGCACCATACCACTTTAAATAACCATAGCTTCCTCCAAAGAATACTGGGAACTATAGTTTTAAGGGTAGACCCTAATCCCACTCAGAGCTACAATTCTTAAAAGAGGTTCACAGTGAGACCTATTTCCCAAGGAACTGGGAATTGTAGCTGGGGGGGGGGCAGAGATAGGGATCTGTAACATAATAATTCAAACAAAATATTCCAAACATATTTGTTGCACAAGGGGACACTCTTCTTCATTGAAAAGTCATAGCAATTTTTAAAAAATGTATACTTAAATATATTTTTTTCAATACTGAAGGGATTTCATAAATTCTCAGGTACTACAGGCCATCAGTCTTGTCCTTTCATCTTCATCATTTTTAATTAACAGTTTTTTGCCTTTCTGCAATTCTTTCCCTCCCTTCGTGGAACCACCTCTGCTTACTATGTCCTCTGTATCTTGTCTAAATTTGAATTCTAACATGCAGTTTTCCTTAATGATACATTTTACACATAATTTCCCCTAATGTGATTCATTTTTAAAAATCATTTGCACCAATAAACACATTTCATAAGCATTTTTGCTTATAATATAATTATGGATGCATTTTTGGTTGCCGAACTATATTACAAAGTTCTGAGAATTTTGTCAGTCCAAACTTAACCAAACAGTGGTCTAACCATGACAAGGCAGTGCACTGCACTCCCCATGTCTTCAGTTCATCTGTCATATCACTTGGAGCAAAGATCACATCAAGGGTGTGCCCTGCCTGGTGTGTTGGACTGATGACCATCTGAGAGTCATGGAGGTCATGGTCTTGAGCTGGCCTGACATCAGCCTTCATCTGGCTACTTCAGGTCAGCCAGGATTATTATGTTAGGTCCTCTAACTATGCTCCAGAGACTACCTTGGCTAGCCTGATAGCCTAATCAGCTGTGGCTTTACCTGCCCCAGACCTGACATCAGATGACGCGAGGTGTGGGCAGGTGGACATGGCATGAGGAAAACTGTATGTTGTATGACACCCTGATATTGATACTGTTGAAAGCTGAGCTATTAATATTTTCAATAAATAATTATTTTTAAAAGCATATTCAGGCAAAAAATAATAATCTTTTTGGCTTCTTTTGTTCTTTTCCTGCACAGATTCTTCTGCTATCTCATAAGGAGGTAAGAGTAATACACTAGAAAATAATATAAATTCTATAAAATTTTGTTTGGCCTTACCCAAATACAATTATCTTGACTGACATAGAAAATGTGCAGGATCCTTATCCATTTTTTCAAAGAATTGCATAGCTTGCTACAATGAGGAGATAACATCACAAATTATTTCTTTACCACTGGCACTTCACTTCTCTACTTAAAGTGTGTTGAAGCCCACATGTGACAGAATTTAAACTAATTAGCAGATGTTTGAACTTTCATTTCTCACTGAGTATAGGAATGCCAAATTCCATCATGTTGTTGTTGATGCTGCTGCTGCTGTTTTCTTGTATTGAGCTAAACATTGCTGAATACTGAAGCATTTTGTGCAAGTAAAGGGGAATGCCATTTGATCTGCAGCAGAAGTGATTTACAGTCACCGTACTATATGCTAGATAGTTAATCTTAGTTCTCCAAACTGTCTGGTATGCTGGTATATAGTGAAAAGCAGCTGAGTCGTGCAAAATAGTGTACTGCACACTATACAGCTGACAACCCTGAGCTCAGTATTACCTGAATATGTATCAGGACCGTCTTTTCATCCTCTACTAGGATCTCAGCAGGGATCCTAATTTGGCACATGCTGCCCTCCTCCAACACTTGATGTCACACTTGCAAAGGAACAACCAGAAGCATTAAAGGCTGTTCCCAGTTGTTTCTCTGCAAGTGGAGTTTGCATTTGGTGTCCTTAAATTTGGCACCAGATGAAAGCTCTGCTGGGGGCTCCTGGGTCAAGTTAATCCCTCCTGGAAGTGAGACTCGCATTTGATGCCAAATCCCCAATTCTTCCTCCTCTTTCTTTGCAGAGGCGGCTTGAATCCAAGCATCACTTGCCAAGGAATAAAGGAAAGAATTGGGAGAGCACTCCAATTGCATAGTTGATAGCTTAATATTAAAGTTTTTACTTTATACTGTTTTGGTTGATTATATGTATGTGTTAATGTCGCTCGCTGCTTTTGGGGGCCTATGGTCCAAAAAGCGGTATCCAAACAAACCACACCATATGAAGTTACATCACCTGATGTTGTGGTGAGATCACATGATTGACAAATGGGTGGTCCAAGTGGCCCGTGTGCGAGCTCAGGATGCAGCCTGTCAGCTGGACCCTGTTCTTCAGCCCTGCACTAGGGCATAGTAACTAGACTATGTACAAACTGGTTAAAGAGAAAAAATTCACAGTATTGATGCACAGGGCAAGTCATGCTACCCAGAAAATTTCCAAGTCATGTTGACATTGACACTATTCTGCTGCCAGACACATGTGACACAGCGGTTCAATGTCTCTCTGCATTACTTCCAGTGTTAAGCACAACTGACGGTTTCTTCTTCAGCTGTGACATTAAGCTTCCCAAGTGTAGGGCTGTAATTATGGTGGGAGACTAGGATACCAAAGACAATAGTAATTAGCAAGCACAGTCACAAAGACCTGTTTGGGTGCCTTTTCTCAGGAACACTGATTCTTCTGCTAACAAATAAGAGGTGTCAATGGGTGTCTCAAAGCAGAGACCAGTTTCAGGATTCTCTCTCTCTCTCTCTCTCTCTCTCTCTCTCTCTCTCGTGTGTGTGTGTGTGTGTGTGTGTGTGTGAAATTTCCTCTTCATGCTTGCTCTGATCCTGTTAATTACCAATCTGTTTTAGCTGATGCATTTTGCATTCATAAAAAAATCCTGCAGGTCAGATGCAAAGAGCTTGGCCCTAACACTTTCAGGACTTTTCTTTAGTTAAAACTTAAGTAAATTAGACTACAAAAATGTATAATCTACATACTGTGGCAGCAGTGCCACAGCCTGACATCACCTTGTCAAAGGACACTAGCTTGTGAATTCTGCTCCTTTCTTAATATCTAAGCCTCCTCACATATTTGTGTATTTTCATCAAGACCAGTTATTTGCACTTTTCTAACTGGATACCTTTAATTGGTTTAGAAAGGCTTAAGATATGAATCGCTATTGATTTTATACATTCTAGGATCTAGAGCATCACTCTCTAGTAGAAAACAGCACGCAAGATAAATGGAAAACCAATCAGACCTTCTCTTGGTGTTACAAAGGGCAATGTTCTGCACATGTTTTATGCTGCCCTGCTCAGCGAGGCAAGCGCTGTTGATTTGGGGACATCTTTATTAAACGATTATAGAAGAGTCTGCCTAGCTTCCTGGAGAATAACAGCCAATTGTTCCCCCTAAGGAATTTGCTCCTGCTATGCATGATGGAATAAAGCCAACTTGTAATTTCTGGTTGTACATTTAGAAAGCAGAAATCTGGTTTGATTGGTAAGACACATGATCTTATTTACTGATGTCAGATTAAAGATTTTAAGCTGCTGAATTTTATGAAGCATCCTTTTTTTTTTTTTTAAAGTTATCTATCAGATCTGCCTTCATCTTTACTGGAAAACTACAATTGTTTACATTTGATTTAAAGTAAGATAAATGACTTTAACTGTAACATGGATGGTTATTTCTCCCTGTTTTTTGTGCAGAAATAAATGACTGCTTAAGTGTTTTATTGTTCATCGATGGCAGTGGCTTCAGTTAGCATATAAGGAAGTGATGTATGCATGGGGGAAAACTGTGAACACAGCCTAAACTTTGTTTATTACAATAGCAGTTCTAGCTGCTGAGAAGCAAAGCCATCACTCACCTTAAACAGCACATTCTCATGCATGTTTACTTATACCCAAGTCTCATTATAGTTAATGGGGCTCACATCCAGGTAAGTGTGCACAGGACTGCTGCTTAATAGTGGCTTGCCACTTTGGCAGTGGGACTGCTGCAGCAAGCACAACAACCCAGAGATGCAAAAATCCCCCGCTGTGCACTTGATCCACAACATGCACATTCATCTTATTTCTTTGGACTCTTGGCAATTTATATTCACTGCGTATGTTGCTGCAACCCAGGACAAGGATAAAATTGCTAGCTTTTATCATTAAATGCACTGACCCTGATCCAGAGATAGTGGTGCTCAATAATTATTGAACTCTACTGATAATGTGCAGCTAATAACTATGTCCGGTGGGCCAAGATAGTACAAATCAATAAATGCATGACCATCACGCTCTAGGACAGTTAAATAATATTTCTGGCATCATTCCTACACAAGCATGTGGAAACAGTATGGACTACACCTATTGTCATCCAGGAGTCCTGGAAGACAGGAGTGCCTGGCGTGCTTTGGTCCATGGGGTCACGAAGAGTCGGACACGACTAAACAACAACAACAACAACGGTCATCCACATAGATGTAAGCTAGGGTCAGTGGAAATATTTTTAAAGCCATTGTCAAAGTGGGTTCTGTTTAGTTTAGGGTGCAATGAGGCAAGCCAAAGACAGTGGGGCAGCATGAGCAATGATCAAGCCTGATCCAGAAGCCATGGTTATGAAAAAGGGGGTGATGGTCTACTGGTGCAATGGATGTGGGGCTGATCTGGCACCAGTTCCCTCCATTGACTTGGCACTGAATCTTTGCCTTGTGTCCCTCAGCTTGCCAGACCTTTTGATGCCTGCTGATAGGTCTTTTCTGAAAGACTTAGATAAAGCCACTTCTGATCCAACATGATTCTCTAATCACGGGAGAGGTTCCATAACGTTTTTCTGTATATGTGGGGTGGTGCACTGCTGGTGTGGAAGGTCTGTGGAAACCAGCCCTTGCACCACATCATTTTTCAAAGAATATTTTTTATGGCAACTCCATAATGGCTTGCTCTAAATTCTAACGAGGCATTATTTGCATTTTTGGGGAGAATTCAGTCACATTCTAATGAGGTCTTCATAAAGCTGGCTAAATATGTTCGGAAATCATTAGTGTAGATTACCAGAGCAAAACACTCCTGGGGGACCTCTGCAGATTTTGTTACAGAACCTATGGCAGATGGATCAGTATAATAGCACAAGAATGCAAGGGGTTTTGGGGGGAGGGAGAGGAGGGCATTGTTTGTTTGTTTGCTTGTTTTTGGTCTCTCCACAGAAACAGTGTAAATGTGAGCTACTCAGTTACATGCTACCAGATAAAGAGCTAAATGTCCCTCAGGTAGATTCATTAAAGGAGGAAAACAATCAAAACACATTTTGCTGCCATTTAAATACCAGGTGCACTGTGGTCTACAAGTGCCAGGAAAACCGACGAGGGTCCCTTGCTGGAATTCAGGAGAGCTTAAAGGATGCAGGGTTTTGACAAGCCTGCCTCAGATAATGACAGGTATTGGCAGATGTATGCAGGCCCTGCTAGAGGCGAATGGAAGGGCTGAATCATCTGCAGCAGGTGCCTGTGTGAGAGAAAGCCTCCCAGTGGCTCCTCTGCCTGCAATTAAAACCATCCTGATGCATAGAGCTCCAGGGCAAAAGCTATATCCGAGCACAAATTTAATGACTATCCAGTCCGGGTAAACAAACACACATACGCCCCCTCCATGATTAATTCATGAAGGACAAACACAAGTTATGTGGCAAACATGTTAAATAGGTATTCTTCTCTCCTGGAAAGGAAAAAAAAAGTTGAGCTATTTCCCCCCACCCCACCCCCCTTGCTTTTGGATGTAAAAAATGGGCAGGTGGTCTCCCAAGAAATCTGTAAGTCAAATAACAAAAGCAGCGGTGAGCAGTTACAACAGCACGGGTAAATAAATAAAAAACTTGAAAGCCACAAAAAGTCACAGTGCTGGCTCTACAGGAATCTAACCTATTGTCAAAACATGATAGTGGAGTGAAAACAACGCTGCTGCCCCCTCGCCACTGCCAGAAAAACCCTCAAGGACAGTGAACCAGCTAAAGTTATTACTAATGGAAGCATAACACAGCCCTAAGTGACTCAGCAGTGATGGACAGGAAACAGAGTTTGTACCCCCTTGGAGGCCATGGTCCTAGTGAAGATTAATTGCCAGACTTCTGTGTTCTAACTATTAATGAGTATTCTTGAAGGCCGCTCTTTAAAGGAGCTTCCTTTTGTGCCGCTTTTCTAGGTTCAGGTTTTAAAGCTCCATGTCTGAGTGCTGTTGTTGTTGTTTGTCCTGGCGCTTTCCCCCAGGAAAACACACATTTTGCCACTGAATCAAGGCAAATGGCAATCAGGTTTTCTGGATGAGCCCTTACTTGGTGTTAAGATCCACTCTGTACAGTGAAACCTACTGTTGTATAAACACAACAGTTTATACAACAGCTTCAAGAATATTTTCACACAATGCACTGGAAAACACATTATTCCCCCGTAATTTGCTGAAAGATACTGCTATCCTAAGCTGGATCTTACCGGAAGCTTACATAAAAGGCGCATGTGTGAACTGAGGTGCCACTGGCATTGTGTATTCCCTGGGAATCGGGAATGTTTTCTAGGGAAGAAAGAGGGTTCAGGCTATCCCTGCCCACATGATGGATGCCTCTTCTAAGAGCTATGGGTGAGTAAGGTCTATAGGTTTGGGAACAGGCTGGCCATTATTCACACTCGCTGAGCAAGATGGTTATGTTTAATGCAAAATATGAGAGATTGCATTGGTTTACGATATATGGCATTGGATCTACAAACAGTTTATCCTGGTTGCAGGATCTATCTACAAGTTTCTTTTGTTCACTGCATTGGAAAGTTTAGACCGAGTCAGAAAATGTGAATGTTTTGCAGTTATTAAGGAGTACTCTGGTGCAGCTCAATTATACCAGAAAGATATGGATGGCTCGTACACCCCAGGTAGTGTGGTTGTTGACCTTGAACCAGACATCCTGGAGAGTGAAGTCAAACGGGCCTTAGAAAGCACTGCAAATAACAAGGCCAGTGGAAGTGATGGTATTCCAGCTGAACTATTTAAAATTTTAAAAGATGATGCTGTTAAGGTGCTCCACTCAATATGCCAGCAAGTTTGGAAAACTCAGCAGTGGTCAGAGGATTGGAGAAGATAAGTCTACATCCCAATCCCAAAGAAGG